TTATTTTTATATATTGGATTCTTTATAAAGCAAGATCAGCATAAAAATTTTCGGCAAGTGGCACAGCACGTGATGTCTTTAGGTGATTCGCACCATAACATGTTTTTTTGCAGAATAGGGGAGTTTTTAACTGTAATCCTATCTCCTATTTGAATATTTGTAAATCTAAAATTACAAATTTCAAGTATTTGTAATTGTTACAAATGTTTGAAATGATTATGAATATTCAAAATAAATAAAAGTATCTGAAATAAATTATGAACATCTGAAATAATTATTATGAATATCCAAAATAATTACAAATATTTGAAATAGTTATAAAATAAATTTATATTCAAATATCCATCATTTTCCTAATCAAATCAAATCAAATCAAATCAAATCAAATCAAATCAAATCAAATCTTAATCTAATCAGATTTTAATTTCTGAGGACACCCAATAAGTGCCTAGGATTTATGAAAGTGTACAGTAACCCCTTTGCTACACTATATGCTTATTGGTTAGGAAAGTAGGGCAGAAATATTAAATGGATTATCCAATTAAGATTAAAATATAATACCTTGTCAATTGTTTTATTTATTTCTAAACCTATATATATATATTACAGTTGATTACATATATATAAAATAAACATATTTTATCTGTGTGCATTTCCATGCCATACTTTTCATAAATTTCAACAATAATTCAAAAAACTTTGTGAAACATATTCTATGCCAGATCATAAAAGTACTTAATTCCTCAGATCAAGTATTCATTACGAGTAATAAATTAGAATAAAGTTCTCTTCACAAAATGAATGTAATTGTTATTATGACTATACAATTTGTATTATTGTTATTTGCAAGATATAATTTTATGTGTAACTTTATTTTACATGTATGTATGTAAATATTGTAATAAATTCATTAAATAAATATTTTTCAAGATTTTTTCAAACCTTCAACTAGATCAAATTCTTTTACTCCATCTTTTTTAACCATAACTCCTACTTCAGTAACAATAGCTGTAATCAATTCTGCGGGTGTAACATCAAAACTAGGATTCCAAACTTTAACACCTTTGGGAGGAACTCTTACTTTTTTAATTTCAAGATTATCACCATTATCATTATCATTATCATTACCATCAATTTCAACAATTCCACTAACATACAAAACCTCGTTCTCACTTCTCTCTTCGATAATTATATCTTTTCCACTTTTAATGCTTAAATCAATACTAGTAGAAGGCGCAGCAACAATAAACATTACTCCATGATATTTAGCTGATATTGCTAATTGATATGTGCCAATTTTATTGGCCGTGTCACCATTCCTAGCAACTCTATCTGCTCCAACTATTATTGCATTAATTTTTCTTTTTTTGGAGTTAGAATGGTGGTCGGAAAGTAGTGCCGATACCATTGAGTCACAAATAAGTGTGCTTGGAATTTGTTCGTGTAAAAGTTCATATGATGTTAGACGAGCACCTTGGCTATATGGTCGTGTTTCTGTAAAGTATACTTGTGATAATAAAGATTTTGAGTGTAATGATCGTATGACTCCAAGTGCTGTTCCGTAACCAGCTGTTGCTAGTGAACTATGCAAATAATTTGTGTGTGATTGGTTTGTGTAAAAGAATTAAAATTATTAAAATTTAGTTATCAATACCTTAATCAATTAATTATTATTGACTTACCCAGTATTACAATGTGTTATTACATTCACCAATTTACTATCACCATCACCGCCAGCACAATTATTCAAAATAAATTCTGCACCAAATCTTCCAATGTTTTTATTATCCTCAACATCTCTCTTTAACATACTTTCAGCTTCGTCAACAACCCCTTCTATTATACTCAAAACATTATCATTATTATTGTTACCTTTAGCTTTGGCAACCAGATTTTCACTTAAATCCAATAAAATATTTGCGGTATTAAATAGATTTACAGCTGTTGGTCGAGATGTTTTAAGGTAGTCTAGTGATTCTTTAATATAGTTTAAAAGTGATTGGGGGGACTCGAGTGTTTTTATAGCTTTTTCATAAATTGATTTCAATTCTTCTTTATTGTTATTGTCACCACCTCTATTATTATTTACACAGATGTAACAAAGTTGTAAATCTATAGCCAAAGATAATGCTGCCACTATGGCAATAGCAGGCGCACCACGAACTTTCATTTGTTTGATTTGTTCATATCCTTGTTTAACACTTTTAACATTTTCATAAAGCGTACGATGTGGAAGTAATAGTTGATTAAGAATTTTTAAGGTTGGTGGTGATCGGGTATAAACAATTGCTGATAAAGATGTCTCCATATCTTTCTTTTTTTTTTCTTTTAGCCCCAAAAATTAAAAAAAACTAGTTATGTGGCGAAGTAAGAAATCCTTTTGTGCCCCATTTTGTGCGTGAAAACTTTTAACTGAAGCTAACCGATTCTTGCAAGTTTAATAAAAAAACTTTGCATGTAAAAAAGCAAGCAATATTATTGATCAAGGTATTTATAATTTTGATTTTTTTTTTGGTTGTGGTGCTATTTTCTTGATATATATTTATTATTTACAAGTTGTTGGATTAACTTTTAAAGTAGTGTGAGGAGGATAAGGTTACTGGTCAAAACGACCTCTCTTAATAGCGGAAATTAGCTAAACTTTAATAGTTATATATTCACTTTTATAAAAAATATTAAGCCAACTAATTTGAGAATTATTGGCCGGAAACATTAGGTGAAGAATGCCGTTTTTTAAGCAATTACTTTTATAAGATGATGATAATTTGCCAAAATACAATGTCTTGAATTGAATTTCATGATTTCTTCCTGGACATACATACCAAACTCAAATGTGGTGGTAGTTTTGGATTGATTAAAAAACTCTGTAGGAAAACAAGTGTAGATTGTGTAGATCATGTTGACGTGGTGAAAAGATCTAATCCAGCAGGATTGAATGCTATGAAGGTAGAAAAAGGCTTTCAATACTTGGATATCAAATTAATTTTGAGAATTTATTTTAAAAAATTTAAAGCATCTAATCCTGTGTTGTCAAAACTCGGTATGTTACTGATGGATCTTTTGCTGAATTCAATTAAGATAGCAGATGTTTTTGAAGAAATTAAATCACGCCTCCTCTTCTGGATTATAAGAAGCAAGAATAACTTTATAATAATATTCATCCATTTGTAAAGGATGAATTTAAAGATATCCAAAACAACAAAGTTTACTAAAATAATATATTATAAAAGAAATCCAAACACTTGAAAGTAATCAGGAATTAATATAATTAAAAGAAAAATCTGAAGAATTAGAAGTAATATAATTACAACTGTGCAGTTTTGCATAGTTGTAATTAAGGCTTCGAATGAATCAATGAAATTCGAACCAATTAGAATCACCTAATTATTGATTCAAATCAGTTTGAACCGAATTAAATCGAATTCGAATTGTACTTTGATTTGATTTGATTTGATTCAAACTGATTCGAATCTATAGTAATCATTATCGTTTATTTATTAATGAATTGTGCAACTGTAAATTGTATTATTTTTTATTCGTCATTACATTATCATTATTATTATCAAGAATAATATTAGTGATGGTAGCCGAAATTTCCGAAATGAATTGGCCTAAACTTTGGTGAAACTAATTTTAATGGTTGAAATTATTTTGAAGTTTTTAAATAAAGTAGATTGATTTGGGCGAAACTAGCTTTTTTTCAAAAATAGTTTCAGCCACCATCACTAAATAATATCTTTTATCAATTAAAAATTTTAAATTTAAAATATACACAATCTTGGTTTAGCAGATAATTTGGGCAATTGGAAATTAAAATCCGTTATTATTATATTAATACAGTCAAAGCTTGTCACAGTGGATTATAATAATAATTAAATTCTTGTCATAATGGATTTTTAAATTTTTCTTATGTGTCCCGTTCATCCACCGTGACAAGGCTTGACTGCATTAAGAAATCCATTATATTGAGAAGAATTTTATTATTATTATAGTTTTAGTTGATGATTATTATTAAACCTCAACTCATTAAATTGAGGTACACTATTGAGATTCAGTGATGCTAGGACTGGGAAAACTCTGTTGAACGTCGCCACCAGATTAAGCACAACGCGAAAGTTGTTTGGTTGATTTTTTCTGTTTAGGAATAATTAACCAAAAATGGGCCACGGTACCGATCATCTATAATCATTAATTGCTTATAATACATAATAACAAATTGGTCAATTTCAAAATACTAAAACAAAAAAAATTATATCATTTTAAAAATTTAACCGATAAGTTTTATTGTTCACGACTCAAGCTTCAAAAATTATCGGCTAGTTTTTTCTTAAACTGAAAATTGGCTGAGCCTTAACATTTTGAAAATTCCGAATTTTGTTATACACTTAAGAAATTGAGACTAAGTAAATTTCGTGGAACAACTTTTTTTCAATAGAATATTTCTACAACATACATTTGATTTATTTGATTTATATATTTATTTCCTTTTTTTTTTAATTAATAAGTAAAAGACATTTACAACAAAAAAGTTTAGCGAACATATTACATTAAAAGAAAATCATTACATTGATTTTTGGGTAGAATTTACAACTTTTTATATATTCTGTTACATACCAGTTCAAACATAATTGTCCGAGGTCCTCTTTTCTTGATTAAATAATTTACTTTTTAAACCAATTAGTTTTGTTCGATATTTTGTTTTGGAAAGTTTTTCTTTAATTCAGCGATTTGTTCTTTTCGGAAACTTCAGGAGTTGGTTGCTTCTTCATTCTCTTCTATGGGAGAAGTTTTATCTTCTGTTGGCAAATCATCATTTTCGTCATTTTCGTTTTTTCAGCTAGTTTTGGTGATTTCAGAACCTTCATCTTTTCATTCTAACCTGACGACTTGTTCTTTAGTTTCTGGATCCAGCAAATTCAATCTTAACCCAAAAACAGAAAGGTTTTTTGAATTAACTAAGAGCCTTTATGATTTAGCGATTTCCTCTTGAAGAGCTTTTTCTAGGGATTATTTTTAGCCAATTCCACCAATTGCTCTTTTAATTCATTTGACACTCCATGTAATCCATGTTTCTCTAAATTTAGTAACTCGCCTAAGGAAATGCAAGTCACTCCCGTTATAATGACATTCGTTATAATGACGATCTTGTTATAATGACATTTTTTTAAAAACCAAATTTATAAATACAAATTTATGCCCGTTATAATGACACTCACTATTTATCCCGTTATACTAGTATAATGACATAATTTGTCAAAAATAATTTTTTTAATTATAGAATTTATCCCGTTATACTGACACCCGTTATAATGACATGTCAGTATAACGAGAGAACCAATCAAAAACATTTGATTACTTCTGAAAAAATTGAAACAATAAAACGTTGATTAATATGACTAATTGGTTAATTAGACAATGAATTATTAAAAATCATAATTAAATTTTGTTTTAAAAATGACTTCAACCTCTGCACCTTCATCCAAAAAAAGAAGTTTTTTAAGTGCTTTGCAAAAAAAAAGAACTATGTAAGTGTGCCAAAAATGATCCTAGCTTAACTCAAGATAAATTAGCTAAAGATTTTGAAATTAGTCGAAGCACAGTTTCAGTAATTTTATCAGAATCAAACAAATGGCTTTCTGTTGATAAAACTGTTTCAACTTCTGAATTTAAAAAGAATCGACAAGCAAATTGGCCACAATTAAAAGAAACTCTAGCAATTTGGTTTGATGAAGTTATAAAACATAACTAAAGAAGAGGAAGAGGAGGAAGAAAATATTATTCATATTAATACTAACGATGCATTGAAAAGTTGCATAAACCTTCTTATTTATATACACAAGAACAAGTACCAAAGTTTATAGTGATTAGATAGTTTGCAAGAATTTAAAAAAAAAAAAATAAGTCAGAGTTTTAGAGAGGCTAAACAAATTAATTTAGATTTTTATGTTAATAAAATAAAAACCACAATTTTCACGTGACTTTTATATGAACTCCCATTATAATGGCAATCTCGTATACTGACTTTTTTTGCTTGTCATTGTAACGGGAGTGACTTGTATACCTAAGGGAGACAGACATAGAGTGTCCATAATGGATGCTTCATCATCGCATGAATTTCCCTGGTCGATACTATTATATGACTTATATACCAACTTTTTTCAAGTTGCGCAAAATATGGGATACTAACTATAAATTTTATTGTGTAATCTAAAAAAAAAAAATTCAACAAAAGTAGACTGTTAAATACAAGATGTATGACGACATACGAAACTTCCAAAGCAAGTTTGTAAAATATACTGATGAACGTTTATCAATTATTAAGTTTTGCAAATGAATGTTTCATCAATTATTGAATATTTTGTATCGAAGTAAGTTGTAAAAGTCAAGATCTATGAAGCTGTTTGTAAAATATATTTAATCAATTATTCAAATAATTATATAGGTGGGCTTGGTCGTCGAGATCTATTTGCAAATCAATTTTCCAAAATGAACGTTTATTATTGTAGGCGGGTTTGATCAAAGTAAGTCTTAAAGTCGAGATCTACGAAGCTGTTTGTAAAATATATTTAATTGACGTTTTATTATTATCAATTATTCAATAATTATATAAGCGGGATTAATCGAATTAAGAGTTAATCAAGCAAGGTCTATGAAGCATGCAAAACGAATGTTTATCAATTATTCAATAATTATATAGGCGGGATTGATCGAAGTAAGAGTTAATCAAGCAAGATCTACGAATGTTTATCAATTGTTCAATAATTATATAGGCGGGATTGATCGAAGTATTAAAGACAATTTATACATTTTATTTATTATTTTATTTATATATAAATAAAATAATCATTGATGAAACTTTAATCAATATAAAGTCTGAAATATAAAACAATCACTAATAAAATACCTTTTAGTTTTTGCTGAATCCCATCATAAAATTCTTTCAAGGCTATTAAATTTCTATAAAATAGTTTTTCGTGAACTTCTTTAAAACTTATTAACCAATGCCCCCATAAAGTAATAACCAGATGAAAGCTTAAAGTATTCTAGACCTTTTCACATTTACTATCAAGTCTTTTAAAACGATATTGAGAAATAATCCGAGCTTTGAATGAAAAAGTAATACCGTTTTGAATAGCCGTGAATTCATGTAGAGAAGGCCTTTTGTCATGAAAGAGTATTCATTAAAAAGCTTTAACGGAGTACTCACATTTTACTCTAACAACAAAGTTAGAGTTTATTATAAAAATAAGATATATTTTAAAAAAACTTCATGTGACATGAATTTCGAATTTATTTTCACCATCCTCAGGGATATGTCACACGACTAATAGTACAACTCTTAATCACGTATTTCCCGGACTTGCTTGCCGAAATCATTTTTGGAAAAAAGTAATTACAGTGGCTTTTCAATATTCGTTTATTATTATGAATGAAAAAGTTCAAATAATTTTGAATATAATTCGGCAATCATTAAAATGAATTACGGCTACTACGTCGCTTCAGATTTTGCGACGCTCATTATTAAGAGGGCTCTTCTTTTAGTCGCTTTATTAAACATATGGAATCTGGTAATAACAGTGCCAAACAAATATACATGTTTTCACTACAATATTTTAATCTTGCTATTGTTAATTTATTAATTATTTTATCAAATTTATTTAATTTAATAATTTATATTAATTACGTATTTTCTGACTGAATTTCAAAATTTCTACGCAAGAAAATACATATATTCTTTCTACCTACCTATCTATAATTTTTCACTGTTACAAAAAAAACTTGAATAATATTAATGAGTTTTACGTGATGATTTTCTATTTTTTTTATTTAAGTTACTGCTGCTTTTTCTTAATATTCTTGAATTTGGAGTTATTTTAGATAAAGATTTATTTTGTATTAAATAATCTGGTATTTCAATATCGTCGTCGTCGTCGCCGTCATTATCATTATTATTATTCGGTTTAATTAAAACACTTGTGCCTTTTCCATTGTCATTAGAATTATCTCCTGATAATAATAATATTGTTGGTGTTAATGATTTCTTTATAACAAAATTGGGATTTCTTCTACTTCTTCTAATATTATTATGATGAAATGATAGGCTTGTTGATAAACGAGAAGGGTAAACTTTTGATGATATGAAACTTGCGATGCGATTCAATGTATTTTTTGAATGTTTACCAAATGCATCAACAAATATTGGATATCTACAAAAATTTGGAAATTTTGATTAGGATAAAAAAAAAATTTTTAGTTGTATTTTATGTTATCAATCAATCAATCTATATATTACAAAATAAATACTTACGCGTGAACCATTTCAGGATCAATTTCAATAGTCACGTCAGGATGACTGTTTTTATTATGATTTGGAACACTACCTCCAAAATAATTCTTTGATTCAATGCATTTTTTACAAAACATTTCAATATCATCTTTAAAAATTTCCTTTCCACCATAAGAAATAAACAAAGGTGGGAATTTTGCCAAAATTCTCTTTTTAATATATAGAGGCGACACCATTGGATTTACGTATATATCATTTGTTATTCTTTTTCTTGAAAATTCTACTTTATTTTTTTCAATTATTTGATGTAATGTTATTCTATGATGCGTACTTGATTGTCTAGTTGTTGTATCTAATTCGTTAAACTCCTCGTTAGTATTATTGGTACTACTATATATGTGATTTTTAGTTGTTCCTTTTCCATTGTTATTATTTAAATAACTATTAACCATAAACGACGAGGAGGAATCAATTCTAATTTTTGAATTTCGGAAGGAACTTCCAAGATTTTTGAAAGAACTTTTGGAGTTTCGTTGCGAATGCATTGAAAATCGATTATTGGTACTTCTACTTTCTATACTATATCTTTTAGATATTCTGGATGATGGCGATAATAAATTATAATAATTAGGATCATCGATTCCAACATAATCAAATGAATCTTCGACTTTTTCCAACCATGATAATATCAATGGCTCGTTGACTGTTGGTCGATACGAGTCTTGAAATCGATTTGGATTACCAACGTTGCCAAATAAATAGTTTTCGGCTGATACACTTGTAAATTGACTTGGTAAATAATCGTATTTTGAATTTGTAAGGCATGATAATTTGTCACATGCTAATTCCACCCACGGTGAAATTAGTATTACTCCAGCTAATGGATGTTTTTTTTTAAATGAAGAAGAAAATTCTTGTGATGAACCATTACTATTATCATTTCCGATATCATTACTATTGTTGTTGTTGTATAAGATGTTGTCGTTTGGAATATTATTATTATTATTTAGATTTTCTGGTCCATCTTCCGAATAAATTAATTGCAATAATCCCAAGATCATACTTGCACCAGATGAATCCCCACCTTTAAATTATAAACAAAGGGAAGGGGTGGGTGAGTGCGTGATTGAGGGAATTAATAAAAACAACAATGTTTATCATATATACTTACATAAAAATACTTTTTGATTTTTTGGAGTACCAACTTCCTCAGTTAACCATTTATAAGCTCTTTTAATGCAATTAATACCACTTGGAAATGGTTCTTCTGGTGCCAAACTATAATCAACCGACAACACTCTAATATGTATATCATGTTGAATACGTAATTGTTTAATTAAATAGCATAAAAATCTTATTCCAAAAAATGATGACATCGCTACATGTCCACCTCCTATATAATAATAATAATAATAATAATGATTATAATTATGTGAGAAAATATATAATAAGTCATGTGAACATAAAGTCGAAAAAAAATGAATGCTGACCATGAACGTATAAAATAACAGCTTCTGGGTGACGGCCTTTCCAAAGTTCAGGGCCTAACCAATATCCTTTAATGTCTTCGTCATCATCTAATAGCGTATATGGTTCAGAACATCCAAAGTGTTTCATTATATATTCAAGAAATATGAAATTTGATCTGATTGTAGTCAAAGGAGCGTCAAGTGTCCATTTCAGTACATTTATAAATGATTCTTGATAAATCGTCCAAGTTGGATTAAGTGTGTTATCAAAAAAAAATCTATTTAAGAATACTTTTGGATATTGAAGCGCTAAAAAGAGAGTAAGAGAGGATCAGTAAAAAAAATAGCATATTTGTGAAAGAATTAGGAAAATTGGGATATAAAATATTTACCTGCATATAAACTAAAACCCAAAGGACCTTTTCTATTATATTATCGTGAATTGTTATTACAAATAAACAAACAAACAAACAAACAAACAAACAAACAAACAAACAAATAAATTACAATTTCAGGAAAAATTAATGACCTTATTTTTGACCACAAAGAATTATCATCATATTTATCGTGAATTAATTGTAACTGGTTTTGAGAATTATTTAAGACCTTTGTATTAATCGCGACTGTCATGTTAATTATTATGCTATTGTTATAGTTTTGATTTTTAAGGTAGAAAGGATTGCGTAATATGTAATATTAACGAAAGAAAATCTCGTTGTTGGTGATGGTGATATAATTAATTAACGTGCTTGTTTTTTTTTATATAATTTTTTTTTCTTTATAAATTAATTGAATCAAAAAAAGTGCCAAGGAAAATTTTTCGTTAAAAACTAATTTTGAATGACGAATTACAAATTAAATTACTGTTTTGCAGATTCCAATTGGCTCGTTCATTTATCACTCTTCTAAATGAAGTTTTTGAATCAAATATTGAATGAAAATAATAAATTTATAAAGTATTCATTTATTTGACATTATCCATTAGTAATTCAAATTATATATTTAGAAAAAAGTAAAATTTTGACGGAAATTATTCACTTATTTTTGTTATTATATCCGTTTTTTTATATCGAAATGTTACACGGCTCTTCCTCAAAATTAAATAAGGTTAATAAAAATCGTCCATTAAACTTTTTTGTTCGAAAAAAAAGGAATTAGAAGGTTATAACAGACCGAAGTTTCATAATAATAGTATATAAACCACTTTGGTGGAATGGAAGCTTTCTTATGACGTGTATCATTAATTGAAAATCATACGGTTTTTGTCATTCTGGCGAGTTATATGGACATGTTGTAACAAGTGAAATAAATAATGTAACAGAAAATTATAGAATTCAAAAACTGGCAAATTAGTCAAAATTGTTGACGTCATAAAGAGGTTTTACATTGTATCCTGCATCCTTTTACATAATTAATATAGGATAATTGGAACCCCTAATTTAGTGACGAGTGTCTTGACTAAAGTTAACTTAACATATGACCAATAATTCTTCATTAGGATTACGCACTCGGCCCTCTCAATTGTTATTAGTAAGGAGACTAATTTTTTTGTCGGAAGAATGTGTACTTATGGATCAGAGGTTTGGTGTTACGGTTGTCTCATAAATAAAGGCTTCGGGGAATATTCTTCCCATGGTTTCTTTTGTCTTTTAACGGGTAATTTTACATGAATGAATTTTTCTCCTCAATGATGAGATGATTTTTCTCGTTCCATCGCTACTCATTAACTCGGCAGTAATTCCCAAGAATCTCTTTGACACTTCTTTCGGCCACGGCAAAGGCGTCATAACACATTGTTTTTGTTATTATGTTATAAATATTACAATATTCATATTGGATGTAAACATTAAGAGTTTGTGCTTCATTCAGGGAAATATATATATATATATTTCTTTTACTATTATTGTTATATTACTACCACTACAAATACACTTATAGAATGTCGAGTCCAGCCTTACTGTCACAGATTGTTACATACATTTCCAGTTCAACTCTTCCTCCAAAGAAATCCTTTTTTTGCGTCTCTCCTCTCTCTGTTCCCGACAGAATAGCAAACGTTCGCCTCTTATTGGGGTTCCACTACGAGGCATTCTCCAGCCGTGACCCGTGTTACTTTAATTGTGTTGGCATTCTAATTCGACATAGCGATATAATAATTTGATTTGTGCAGGTAAAACGCATTAGTATCTCTAAATAAATGTTAATATTTATTTATTTATTAATACCTCCGGAGCAGTGTTAGCAAATGGCCTTGTAATGACCTCTATTTTATTATAAATTTGACAAAGTAGGTCATTTGAAAAATAGCAAATAACCGTGTAGTTTGCCAACGCTAACTAACACACCCACTCTCCCTTCTCTTCTTGTTTACTTCCAAACTGCTTTTATTTTGAATGACATTTTAAATTTTATTTCGCGCGCACGGAAATTGGCCACAGAAGAGGAAGGTCAAAAAATTAAAATACCGATCATGGAGGAATTGATGAGGAGAGACAATCCTAATAAATTGTATTAATTCACCATCATGTTGCATAATTGTAGTTTTACAATAGCTCTTTTACCTCCTTGGTATAGACGGCAGAAGACCTAGGATACGGATGATGAAGGTTTTTTAAGGTGGTGAGCTAAAAATTTATAATTAGAAATTACTTGAAAAAAATTTTATAATAGTAATAGTTACAAAAAAAATTGTATATCTCGATAATAATAATAAATGATTCCAATTTTCTATAAAGTGACACTGCAAATGTTAAGTCCATCATCGTAAGTTTATTCTGATGAATTGCTGTAACAATCTTTAATCTTGATTGATCGGTAAAATAATTCTAGTCGAAATTAGGCAATTAATCCATACCATATTTG